TGGGCAATGGGGCTTGACGTCCGATAAATCCCAATGTTGTGGGATTATTGAAGAGCGACTTGGACATTTGCTTTGTTGGATTCGATGGCGAGTCATTATCCTGGAACTGAACGTCGCAGCCAGAACGTGAGCGACAGTTTCTCATGTGTCCATCATTGTAGTTTTCGCTTTCGTTATTTCCGTTCTTGTTATCGATATCGTTATCGTTTTTGTAATCTCTGCCACTACCGTGTTTTCGACCCATTCGCGTGGAATTCTGCTGATTGATGTAATTCAGATTCGCCTGCTCAAGGAGCTGCCTCCATTGCTCATCGTCCAGCATCTTCACTTGATTCACCCGAAAGTGCTGAGGCGGACTAGGAGGTGGAGGCGGACGACGTGTGGACAACAGAGAATGCGCCTTGCAATGCGGGTATTTGACCTTTACCTTGGGCAACTTCAGCACCATATCGCGAAGATTTATAATCTTTTTATTGTTGGGCGACCTCTTAGAAAACATGAGATTGGGAACGCCATGGGACTCCGTCGGCTGTGCACTCGGAATGCTATTCATTTTGAGATCACCTTGCGATGGCCCCTCCACATAGTGTGTTATATTGGCCACACGCTCCGCATTATGCTCTACCGTGTCCATGGATGTTTCATTCGATATATTTGACTTGAAATCCAACACATTATGTGCACTCTGGGCAGCGCTATTCACACTCGGTCCGTTAGTCCGATGCTGCTGCGGCTGTTCAACCAAGTTTTGGTCAGTGTTTGACTCAAATACCTTCTGTGGGTATTTCTCGGCCATATTTGTCACCTGCATACCAATGCCATGGGAAGCGTTTGCATTGTACAGCCTCGCCATGCGAGCCGTATAGCTCGAATGCTGTTGCTCGTGGGGTTCGTACTCCTTGTCCGGTAGGGCCCTTTCAGCTGGCCAGTGATCATTTAAATCGGCTGATTGAGGGTCTGGGATATCTTTGGGTTGCCTGTGAGCGGGCGCTCTATTCTTGGACTCCTGGCTCTCGCATGACATGAACTGATCCTTGAGCGAAATGCTGTCATCCGAATAAGCCGAGAGCCAAGCTGAGCTCGGCGCCTGCAAATTCGTCCTATGCTGGACTGATGACAGACTCTTGGAGTAGACCGGCTCGGCTATTTGCATGGGCGTATCAATTTGATTAATCGTCCGTTGTTTCTTGCTTGGCACGGGACTGGCACTGCGACGTCTCTCTGGACTTGACCCATGCTGCTCCTTGCTGCTGCGTGTCTGTTGGCGTTGCATCAGATTTGTCGGTTGTCTGCCATTGACGCGCTGCCTCTCCGCAAACGAAACCGCGCAGCGTTTGTGGTGCGCCGTCTTGGGTCGTTTGCGTGCCACAAGATGCATTAGCTGCGAATAGTCTGTCTTGGGTACGTAGCTGGCTCGCGCAGCTTGGCTCGTCGAGTGCTTTTCATTTGTCCTGGACATCGTATTGACGAATACTGCATTAGGGTTAACTGCCTCTGGTTGTTCCGCTAACTCCTCGTTGGAAGCCTCCTCCAGCTGAACGTTTCTCGGCTGCCCCTGTGCGGGATCAGAAGTTCGAGTTTCAATTGCCGTTTCATCGATATCTGTTGTCGAGTGAGTCATCCATTCTGGCCGTTTGCCTTGGACCATCATAAATTTCTGTCTATGCGGCAAAAAAGACGGCGTGAGATTGATCTTATTGGCTGACATCCATTGAGAGCCAATTTTGCCGAATTGTCCTGCAATTGGCTTGCGCTTCAGGTAGTTGCATTTGTTCTGCACGATCGAACAGCTGGCCGACGAGTGCCACAGCGTGCCCTGTGATTGACTTGGAGTCCAGTTGCTAGACTTCGATTTGCTGGAAAAGAACGATGCACTCTTTGCTTTCTCCACTATTTCCTTTGGCGGCTCCTTTGATGGCTTTGCCTTTTTCGTTGACAGATCGTCATACGTCACGTGCTGGCGATTCATTGTGCTGAGACTGTAGAGCAAATAGCGGCCCGGCATTATGACCCGCTTGCAAAGACCCGCCACGCTACCGAGTATGCCCTTTCGCTTTGCCTTAAGCTCTGGCTCCTCCCCCATGCAGGAGCTCGTATCTTTCACGATCTTATTCTTGAAGAACCACTGCTTGGGATAGCAACAATGTTGCACAGTGTCCGGCCCGGCCTTGCTGACTCCAACAGTTGTCGACTGACTGGACACCAAAGAGCGAGCATTGAGCATAGCCTCCGACAGGAGCTCTGTGTTCGGTACGCTCGAGTCCTTTGTGTCATGGTGCGATTCTCCAGCTTGTTGCTCGTTTTTCTCTTGGCTGCGCTTCGGACAGCTCGTTTGGTCGGTCTGAGTGGGCTCTTGCTCTCTGCTCTCGCAATTCTCATCACAGGCATTCTGCTGGCATTTCGCACTGGTGCATACAAGGCCGGGACACTTGTACACTTTGCAAGTGTCCTCATCGCAAACTGGAGCATCCATGTAGTTGGGAGGCAGCTCTTCAATCGGGTCTGAGGACTCGGTATCTTTGCTATCGTTCGTGGGTCGGTCCTTCTTGGCCGGATAGCCGACGCAAGCCTCCAGTCCTTGGTCACCCAGGCAGGGTTGCTCGCACGCATCAGTCGCCGGCTGCTCGCAGCCGCAGCACGGCGTAGTTTTGCACCAACAGCGCAGGGGCACGCCGTAGAGCGGATATCGTTTGCTCATGCCGTCCTCGTAGCTCTTGAGCAGGCCATAGAATTCCGGTGAGATGCGGCGAAAGCACGCCGGATTCAGTCGCCGCTGCGGCACCTCGCGCAAGCTGTACTTCTTGCGTAGGCGTGGCAGCGGCGACTCAAAGCGGCGACACGCTGCAATGCATTCATCGCCCATGGGCTGGCCATCCGCCTGAAAGATGCAGCCGCATGACTTCCGCCGTCTCGCTCGCAGGCAGCAGCACGTCCGCTGCGGATACATGTGGCAGATCTTGCCCTTCGATCGCACCGAGAGTCCGCCCGTAAAGCGAGTCCTCTCCGCCAACGTGTCCGGCATGCAGCCCGCAACATGTGTCGGACATACGGTTATCTTATTTGCCTTGCTCGACTCCTCCGGCTCTGGCACTGGCTCTGGCTCTGGCTCTAGCTCTAGATCTAGCTCTGACTCTGGCTTGGGCTTAGCCTGCTCATTGTCCAAGGGCTGGTCACTCTGGCTAACGCGCTGGCGCTCAGCATACGGCCACGCGGGCGGATTGTGGCAGTCGCACATGAGCTCGCCCTGACGCTTATGATGGCGCTGACGCTGCAGATGCTGGCGACGTCGGCGCAGCTCCTGGCAATAGTCCAAGTACTGAATGCTTTCCTGCACCTTCGGCTCGTTGCAGCCGCATCTCTTGCAGTCGCATACCGAAGGCTTGAATTGGCTGGGTAAGTCCTCCAGTTGCTTGGTCAGCTGCATTTGCAGCAGCTCCTTCGACGTGACCTTGTCGAGAAAGACCTTCTGCTTGCGAAACCAGTCCGTGGCCAAATCGGGCACCAATAGGCGCTCCGGCTTCCCATCGTTGACCAACAGCTGCTCAAACGTCCGCTGCCCGGGCGTTCGTCGACGTGACAGCGACGTCTGCCGCTGGGAGTGCTTCTTACAGAGACAAAAGGCAAAATGCCGCTTTGCGATGCTCGAATCGCATGGCGGAAAGTTTTGCATTTCGTTCGCCATGAATCGCTCCTGGCAGCCCATTGCGCTGCTATCTTTAGCTCGATCTCGATCCCAGTTCCCAATGGCTTCCACTGCTGTGGACAGTGTCATCCCTTTAGTAATGCTGTTGCTTTGGTTACTTTTCGCGCTCCAATTGCTTTAGCTGCTGTCCAGGCTAGTCGCAACCGCCAGCTGACTATTGCATAGTAGGGAACCCTCAATGCTGAGGGCGCTCGACGATTTTGGTTAGCACTCACTGCCAATTTGGAAATGCCGAAACTTTAATAGAATTCAATTTTGACGTTATCAAAAGTCATTCGAAACTTGTTTAAAAGTCAAAGTGCTCAGGGCTTAAGTTCACAATCTGCCAAAGGCACCAACCTCATTTATGGACGACTCTACCATGGACTTTCCCAATTCTCATTTTCAGTGTCAGTCTCGCCTTACTTATCTATCTGCCCCTCTACCTCCCTCGCGTGATTTCTCTGAGCTCTTAAACATTACTTTTAATGGGTTCTGTTGGCACTAGTCATATTATTTGTTTTATATATACCTTAATATTAAATTTAGTTTTCTCTTTCCATTTCTTATTTTCCGTCTCTTATTCCATCTCCACGGTCTGTATACTCTTTCTCCTTCTCTTTCTCTTTCTCTTTCTCTCTCTCTCTCTCTCTCTCTCTCTATCTCGTACTTGCTCTCCATATAGTTGACCTCCCTTTCTTACTTGCTCTCTGTCTCTCTTTGTCCCCGGGAGTGGAATAGGGATACTCCTTCTCTCTCTTTCTATTCTCTTTCTTTACATACACTTTCTACCTCTCTGCTTATTTTGTCTCACTCTCTATCTTTCTCTCTGTTTGCTTAATCTCTCCCTCATTCTCTGTCTCTCTCTGTCCCCGGGAGTAGAATAGGGATACTCCTTCTCTCTCTTTCTATTCTCTTTCTCTACATACACTTTCTTTCTCTCTGCTTATTTTGTCTCACTCTCTATCTTTCTCTCTGTTTGCCCAATCTCTTCCTCATTCTCTGCCTATGCCTGTCTGGTCGCTATCTCTCCCTCTCCCTCTCCCTCTCTGTCTACCCTCTCTCTCGCTGTCTAGACTTCCTCTATCTTTCTCTAACTACTCTATCTCTATTACTCTGTCTACTACCATTAGGAAAAACTATAAGTCCAAATGATTAAACAAACATCAAGCTGAAAATCATTTATGATACCATCAGAGCTGCCTTTGCTTTGGATTCGAGTTTAGCTAACTTCAAGCACAGTCTACTCCTGATTTGAGTCTTTTGGAGAACATCGGACATTGGGTGCAAGTAGTATACGTGATCATGTAGCCTTTTGACTCTAATATTTGGCAAAAAAAAAAAAAAAAGAACAAAAAAAAAACTAGATCTTCGTTCGGCAACAACAAATTATTGAACATGTGCGCTCCATGCCGTGTCCACTGTTGTACCTTGCACACCGGCTGCTGTCGACCCCCACTGGAGAAACTGCGACCCGTGGACAGCTATAAATGGTTCCAGCATTGCGAAGAGCACAATTGCAGGAACTGCAAAAAGAATTCCACAGATGAGGACGATGGGTATACCTCCGATTGCGATTGCATTTGCCGGCGCAATCGTCACATTATTGAGGCCCTTAGCTGCCTATTCAAATGCTCCGTACAGTATATGGTATCGCTGCTTTTCAAATTGGCCTATCAGCAAGTGCAGCCACTGCAGCGCTTTCCGCGCGATCGTGTCTGGGATGTGATGGAGCATGTCAAAGCGCCATATACGGAGCTTAACGATTTGGAGATCTACGATAGCATGTACGATCGGTGTGGGCAACCCATCGATCCGCTGGACGCGGATAACATAAACAAGATAGTCCGGCTGATGTTTCTAAGGGAAGTGCTTACCTCCGATCAGCGTAAGTATCTGATGCGTCTGCTCCGGCAACTCAACGAGCATGCATTTTGCCCGGTGCATCTGGATCTGCTGCTCCAGACACTCCAGACAATTGACTTGAATAAGCTCGTTTGCGGTATACGCCATCAGGAACAGCTCTCGCGTCGCCTCTACACTGTACGGCAGTGCCAGTCTATATGTAAGCTATACAATAGGGTTAGCACGGTCGATAAGCGTATGGTTGCGCAGAATCGCAAGAAGCGTCGCCGCAAATTGAAAATGTCCGGCACTGATGCGCAGACTGAAGAGATAAACAATGCCCGACAATCCGTATTGAATCGACAGTTTTGTGAACGAAAACCCGCCGACAATGTCTCTGACGTCACACCGCCACGTAGCACCATCCATCGCGCTTCAGGATCGAAGCGTTACTCTAGTACGATTAGCAAGCGCCTTAGCAAACGGAATCGCCAAAGCACTCTCAAGATGTAACATTCAATGATACGAATTCATAATTTGGCAACATTTGAATCTGTTGCACAGAACAGAACAGAGAAAGAAGCCCACTACTGTAGTACTCAACCCACACACATACGTATATACGTATATTATATATATATCTATCTATATCTATATCATCATCTATCATCTTTCTCTAATTTTGTTGTTGTTTAGCATCAAAAAACGCCAAAACTGTAAAATTAATCAAGTAAAATTTCTGTGAAATTGGCCCACATAAGCTACCTTTAAATATATAAATAGTCCGTACGAAATCCGAATTAAACTGAGTTTTTCATTATAGCTTTTCAAATATGTGCATATTTATGTTAACAGTTTATTTTAATTAATAGAAGTGGAAATTTATCAGAGTACTAAAGGTCGCCCTACTGTACAAAATTTACATATGTATGTTAATTGGGTATATAAGGTAACAGAAGATGGAATGTTATTAAACGTTTTACATGTGTACCCACGATTAAGCAAATGAACCAATTTTAGTATTGTCTGAGTGTCTTTAGGTAAGAACTTTGAGTTTATGAATAGCTAGACTACGATTTTAAAAATAAACGATAGCAGTTACTTCCTTGATCAAGTCGTCAATTTACAAAGACAACGGGTATTTGAAATTATTGTTTGTCTGCCAGAAATCCACAACTTATCGTTATCTTTAGTAGATAAAATTTGTCATTGTTAGCTTCTAAGAAGATTTTTGCAGGTGTTTGAGTTCGAATCGCCTTATTTTTATGCCTTAAGTTGACAAACATAGTCACACGCATATGAAAATGAAATTGACGTGATTTTTTGAGACTGCAGCAGCTATAATACAACTAAGAGTTATATAACATTTGAGTAATTTAACAGATTGAAGTAAATAAATATTCACTTTGCAGTTTGAAGTTGCATTCTAACATTTCAGCCATTGTTGATGACAAAAGGCTGCAGGATTGAAGAAATATTTACTAAAATATTCATTTACTTGATTTCTACAGCTTTAAAGCTTTTGCAAAGCTCTGCCGGCCAATATTGAAATGGAATAACAGAGCAAAAGCCGAAGGTCTGAAGCCACTCTAACAGCACTGTTAGTTAACATTAAGTAAGAATAACTATTAACAGTGGTTGCCAGATATCAAATGCCACCACGATCAAAGGATTGCAAAGAATAGTGGGGAAATTTCAGCAAGCAAATTATAGGCATTAAGTAAATGTAGGGAAATTGCAGCTTTTTATTGATACCGGGCAATGAATGTTAGAATAATTCTAGTTGTTTTCATGCATTTGTGGGGAAATTTCAGCATTTGAATGTGGAGTAAACCATTAGTAGTAGGGAAATTTCAGCTAACATTCAATTTTTGCTCACTGTTATAGTGGGAACATTTAAGTCTTTGAATAATGGATGGGATTTGCGAATTTTATTTGTTGAAAGATGATCCACAAGTCTATAGAAAAACTAAAGTTATTATCTCTTTGCTTTAAAGAAGATTATGTGCTACCACTGCTAGTTAGCATTACTAGGCATAATAGAAGAACAACTGGGAATATGAAATTCGAATAAAATCGGTAATTTGTAATGCCACATCTATTTCTATACCTTTAAGGCACAGCGTCAAGCGGTTTGTAGAACAGGCAAATTTTTTAGATAGGTAGGCAGCTGTTACACTTCAAACCAGTATACTTAGTCCCTCATTAGAAATGACAAACTATTTGATTCAGGCTTTCGGAAATATGCTAAATTCAAAACTATAAAAAAAATAATTCAGAAATATCAGAAAAGAAAACAACACCAAAAAAAATATAATAATACAGATAATCTTTGGTTCAAATTAAAAATTTTACAAGAAGAGCGCCCATTCCTCAAGAAGAAAGAAGAAACAAATAAGAAAAAAGAAAGAAAGAATTGTATA